TGCGGGGGGGGGGTCCAGCAAAGCCACTGGACCCCCCCCAGCAGACCAGGGACACCTGAGCAAAGCCGCCGCCTGGGCGGCTTTACTCGTTTGCCCGGGAGCAAAGCCGCCCAGGCAGCGGGACCCCCGCCGCCTGGGCGGCTTTGCTCCTGTCCCCCTGGTCTGCTGGGGGGGGTCCAGCCGCTGGAAATACATTTCTTAATTAACTATCATATCTTCAATTTATGCCCCCTGGTCCTATCCCATGGAGAAAGGAGATGTTGTAGTAAGTATTTCATCACCTGGCACTAGGAGTAGACCATTCACTAGGATGGACTCCTGGTTTTAAACAGTTCTCTGACTACATGCTCATATTCTGTTTATACTAAAAGAACTAACCAGAGTTATTTCAATTTGGATTCAGTCCCCTATTATTTTGTCACTAATGGAACCAAGTTATTTTCCTGTTAATTTACAATTTTCATCTAAAGAAAGGATCACTTCCTAAACTAATTCGGTAGTAAAATACCTTCATAAATATCTACTTTACATCTATCTACTTTTACAAAACCTATAATGGTTATTAAATCCAAGTTAAATGCCATCAAAAATTAACTAAGCACTGACTTACCTCATCATATAGACGAGAGTACACAATTCCACTGAACTTCCAAAATTCTGCCCAGAAATCTGAGTAGGACTCCACAGACCACTGATACAACTCGTTGTAGTTAACTAAAAGTAAAAATTGATATTAGTGAACTTATCTAGAATTACAAAAAAGTAAATATTTTTAAAACATACCCTCAGTAGTATTATCAACCAATATCCATTGACTTTTTAAGTGGAATAAATGGAAAGAGAAGATTGATTATGAATATACATAAATAAGTTTAACAAGTTACAATCTGAAGTGGGTATGTCTACACAGGTAAGTATCAGCACAGTAAAGCAACGCTTTTGGGCTCCAACTGCAGAGGTTACATGCTGCCAAGAACTTAGTGCAGCAACTGCATACCTGCAGCACTGTAAAAAAAGCCACCCAGATGAGAATCATAAAATCATAGGACTGGAAGGGACCTCAAGAGGTCATCGAGTCCAGCCCTCCGTCTACACTATCCCTGACAGATGTCTATCTAACCTGTTCTTAAATATCTCCAGAGAGGGAGATTCCACCACCTCCCTTGGCAATTTATTCCAATATTTGACCACCCTGACAGTTAGGCATTTTTTCCTAATGTCCAATCTAAACCTCCCTTGCTGCACTTTAAGCCCATTACTCCTTGTCCTGTCCTCAGAAACCAAGAGGAACAAATTTTCTCCTTCCTCCTTGTGACACCCTTTTAGATATTTGAAAACCGCTATCATGTCCCCCCTTAATCTTCTTTTTTCCAAACTAAACAAGCCCAGTTCATGAAGCCTGGTTTCATAGGTCATGCTCTCTAAACCTTTAATCATTCTTGTCGCTCTTCTCTGTACCCTTTCCAATTTCTCCACATCTTTCTTGAAATGACTCAATGAGGAGGAAGAGGGAGCATACAGGTTTCTGTGCCATGGTTACAGTGCTGCAGTGCCAGTGTAGGCACCCTGGTCTATTACAGTATTGCAACTGTCCCTCCAAAGTATCACACAATGCCTGTTCTCATCTCTCTAATCTGTTTGAATTCTACTGCCCTAGCCTCAGCTGATCACCACCCCCACTTGCCACCCTTTCAAAATTGGCTAAGAATGTGAAGTGCCATTCTGGTTTGCTCAGCAATGATCTCAATGCATATTTCCAGGTGACTTGGCTGCTCCATGCATCAAGTAATTCTGCTCTCTTGGAAAAATTCCAAATTGTGGGACCTCATCAATATTTGATAAAAGGTAGCTGTCCACTCTCAGCTTCTCTCGAGCCATGGGAATTATGATATCTATGGACAGGTATCACACTTCATGGTGGAAAGGAGTCATGATCATGACACAATGCAGTGCAGGGTCCAAGTGAAAGATGCAGAACACCTACCACAAAGCTCAGGAGGTAAACCACCACTCATGAACTTCTGTTTCTACAAAGAACTGGATGCAATACTCAGTGGCAACCCCATCTTCACTGCAAAGACCACCATGGATATTTTGGAGATCTAGGAGCCAGTCAAGAGTGGACTGTATAGGATTTCCTCCTCCTGACTCAATGAGGAGGAAGAGGGAGGAGGACACAGAGGCAGACAACACACCTTGCTGCTGTTTAGGTGCCTCGTATATGGCTTCATAAGCCAAATGCATTAAGGCATTGGTCCCCAACGCGGTGCCCGTGGGTGCCATGGCACCTGCCGGGGCACTTATGTGCGCCCGCCAAGTGCCGGCTCTAGGCACCAGCCAACCAAGCACGTGCTTGAGGTGGCACATTGCCAGGGGTGGCATTCCGGCCACTAGTGAGACACTGGCCAGAGAACTCCTGAACTCCTAATCCTACCACCCGATGTAGGCCTCCGTGTGGCCGCCCAAAGCAATAAGAGGAGCAGCGGAGCGTGTGATGGGCCAGCAGCAAGCCACCCTCGCCAGGAGGGGTGCGTGGGGCAAGTCACGCTAGCAGCCCCGCCCTGACTGGCTGAGGTGCCATGACATCATGGTTCTGGAGCTGCCTCGCTGCCTTCCCTCGGCACCAGGGAGAAAAGTGCTTCCTCTGGATAGCAGGGACAGCAGCCCTGGCCACACACCTCTCCAGTCAGCTTCCCGGCGCAGCTTCTGGTGCCCAGCACCCACCGGCAGCGGAGCGGGAAATGCCCGAGCCTCTCATCCATGAAGCAGACTCCAGCACCCAGGGATCGTTCGCGCTCCTCTGACTGACACCAGCCAGCACAGCCTGACGTGCAGGGGGGCGCACCATGGACTTTGGGAACAGCAGCAGTGCTGGAGTGCTACAGCCCTGGTGGGCGAGCCACTATCCCCAGGCTGTGCAGGGCAGGCTGCACAGAGCGATCCAGGGCCGGGCAAGGGGCAGCCCGGGTCACTGCAGCCAGGGACCACGCTGCAAGCCAGGTGCCTTTGGTCATCTCTCCGCCTGCCTTGCGCTTACTAGTGACCCCTCCAGCTGGAGCGGGCACCCTTGGCCAAGAAGTTTGCAGGAGTGTGTGAGGGAGGAGGGGTTAGCACACATTGGCAAATGGGGAGCAACTCTCTCCCCCTTTTCTCTGCCTCAGTGCTGGTCGCGGAGGGAGAAGAGAGCTGCAGCCTTGGCGGTGCCTGGCAGAAGGCCCTGCCCGGGCCAGGATGATTCAAGCAGAGGTGCTTAGGCTGGGGGGAGGGGGCACAGCTAGTGCGCCCCGATCTGGTTGGTCTGGCACAAAGGAGCCACTGGAGGGAGACTCGCCT